GATGTGTGCTCGAGATGCAAACTTAGGCAGTCAAAACAACCTGGCAGATTCAAAACAAACAGGGATAGAAATTACGTTTTCCTGGCTCAAGAGATGCCGGACTTGACTCTTCATTCCAATACAGATGGACACACACATCCCCAATAACAGCACGTACTCCTAAACCAAACACAGGGGTCGTGGTGAGCCTCATCCCCTTGACCAACTTCAAAACACAGAGCTGCTTTTTAGTTTCTTGTCCTGGGAAAAGAATGTCTTACCGAGGCTGGAAATGAACTATTTGAATAGTATAGATCACCGCCGGACACTTCCTGATAGTAATGCTAGGAATAACAAGGCGGCTAGATCCTGGGGTTAATTTATGTTCGGCATGCTGGAGAGGTGGTGTGGTGATTGCCTGGTGGCATTCCAAAGCTGTGATGTCTCACTTGCAGACGCCCAACTCCAGTTGAGCAAAATAGTGCAAGACGACAGTAGAGGGAAACAACCTGCACAATATTCCCAAACAACTTAAAAGATAAACCATTTAGTTTAGTATCAAAATGAGTGCCAATTTGTTTTTGGCTCACTGCAAATGCCTTTTTATTTTCTGACCAAATTATTATTTTTGTGATTGGTACAACCAAGGGCAAAATATATCTGAGCGCATTTGGAACCAATCAGATGAAAGGCGCACTTGGAACAAGCAGGGCCTGGTAGATGCTGAGTGTTGCATTCAAGCTCGAGACGCTGGCCATACTGCATACCCTTGGCCCTTCATGTGGTTTTTGTCAAATTGCATCATTTGGACTGAGGCCACAGGCAGACTCTGTCCCTCAGCCCCCACACTGTTCATTGAAAAAAGTAAATACTTGGCAGAAGTTAACAGAGCTGAAATGAGATCATTGACTTTTCTCCAGGAAAGGAGTCACAACACATCCATCAGACGAATGCCTGATAGAGCTGGCAGAGCTACACTATTCCACAAGTTATTTTTTGACTCTCACTTTAGTGCTTGTCCTCCCTTTATTCTAGGATTCTGCAGTTGGCCTGATTATGACATCCGAAGCATCCCAAATGCAGGGGGAAGGTGATTCTGACTTTAACAAGTCTGAGAGAGCTTGGGATGAAGCAATTCTTTCAGGACAATCAGGAAGTGCCTTCAGGAATCTGATTAGTTGGAAAGGACCTCCAAAGGCATCTCCTAATTCACTCTTGGTCCTTGAGGTGTGTCCAACTGTGGTAAAGGAATGGTGAATTTCAAGGTGAAAACATTTGTATCGAATTGATTCCGGACTTAAAGAAATAGTTCAACCAAAAATGAAAATTCTGTCATCATTTACCCTTAATTTGTTCCAAACACATTTGACCTTTTTCTGTGGAACACAAAAGGAGGTTGCTCATTTCATGCAGTTATAGTTAACTGGAATGAAAGATTTCTATGTTCAAAAAGGATGCAAGTAGACTTGGAATATGGACTTTTAAAATACGTTTATGGTAATTTTGAAAGGTGAAAACTTTAGTCCCCATTATTGCATGGAAACGAGCCATATGGGGGGAACTTTTTCAATGTGTGATTTGTGTGGATATAGAACTTCTTTGCACAGATTGCAGTGGTACTTGGATAGCTAAACATAAACCACTTCCACTGCTTTCCAAGCACATAATTTCACTTTGGTTTGCACAAACGTTCCACAATTTTTGAATATGAAAGTGACTACATGGGTTAAAGGGCCTGAACGTATGATTGGTAAAGGGGCCTGATTTATTATCAAGTTAATTTTTTAAGTCCTCCACAGATTGAAGGAAGTAAGTAAGGAGAAAACTAACATTAATAATTGATAAAGCCTGGTAAATTCAAGGTTTCCTGTGCCTGCAACAATGCTGCGGTCTTAAACAAGCAAGCATTTTCAGGTAAACACAGAGGCAGGTCTGTGCAAAGCCCCTGTAATCCCTCAAAGTCAGCACAGTGCTACAGTTAATGGCAGGCTATGAAGCAACGAAACTGTGAACGAGTGTGTTCAGTCTATATGGAGAGTCTAGTGTTTGTCCCAGGGTTCGAGGGAGGTGTTTATGTGTTGGATGACTTTGTGGATCATGGGTTGTGTGTTTGGGTTGTACGGCTGCTGCCAGGGGATCTTTTGTTTGGTTTAGTGCTTTCATAGAGCAAACTAATGGGGCCAGTGGGACAAGATATAGTATGACTTGCTCGGGGTGACACTTCAGTGGTAGGAAGTGAGGCGGACAGTCTGAACATGAAAGCAGACTAACGGACAAGCTTTATAGTCTGTGCATTAAAGCATTAATGTCTGGGCCAGAAACGAGATGCTTTGGAATTCCAGCTACAAAAGAAAGGCTGAGTAGTCACGCTACCTAACGAGAGTGTCCTGCATGTTCATTTTTGCTCCATAAATTACAAAATTGTTTGACTTGATGATATGGGGTTGAAAGCTGGTTTGAGACACTCCAGCTGCCAGTCCCCCCAAAACCTCAATTTTCCGTAGAAAGCCCCCCTACCACCAGCGTTCCTCAGTCTAAACACACCTGACTTGTAAATATACTTTATTGCACCGGTAACATAAACTCTCTCAGCGACAGGCCCGTTGGACAATTTTTCCCACACTCTCAAGAGTAAGGCCAACCACTCTGTTCTCTAAACAACAGCACTCCAAAGAGGATGGCGAGGCTGACGTAACCTCTCTCAGGCTTGAAGGACTTTCAGCAGCTCACCAGGCAGACCTCTGCAGTTAACCTAAAGAGGACATACAGGGTGTTTAAAATCTTTTCTTTAATCACACTGGTCAATATGAATTAAATTCTATCAAAGTCAATCCATATCTCAGGGGGGAAAAAATCAACTCAGGACAAAAATAGGCACTGCAAGCAGGGAGACACTCCAGCTGCCAGTCCCCCCAAAACCTCAATTTTCCGTAGAAAGCCCCCCTACCACCAGCGTTCCTCAGTCTAAACACACCTGACTTGTAAATATACTTTATTGCACCGGTAACATAAACTCTCTCAGCGACAGGCCCGTTGGACAATTTTTCCCACACTCTCAAGAGTAAGGCCAACCACTCTGTTCTCTAAACAACAGCACTCCAAAGAGGATGGCGAGGCTGACGTAACCTCTCTCAGGCTTGAAGGACTTTCAGCAGCTCACCAGGCAGACCTCTGCAGTTAACCTAAAGAGGACATACAGGGTGTTTAAAATTCCTCCTATGTGGTGATCTGCTGCAACAAAAATGTTGTTAAGATGAGCAAAAAGTTCAGGAAATAGTAAATTTGCTAGATATGCTAATGTAAAATAACATGACAATCTCTATTAATTTTGCATTAAAATGGACTTACCCTCATTTTGTTTCAAACCCGTAGGACTTTCTCCCGTGGAATGCAAAAGGTGAAATTTAGTAGATTTCCAAGATGTCCAAGCAGCTCTTTTGCATACAAAGTTTACACTTTATTTTGAAAGTCTGCTTTAGACATTCTACTAACTATAATAGAAACTTTGAAACTATGTGTAAACTAACTCTCGTTAGAGCATTAGTAGACTGTTAGGTTAGGGTTGGGGTTAGTAGAATAAGTTGAAGTACTTGCAAAGTTACTTACAGTCTATTAGCAGACCATCAAAATAAAGTGTTAGCAGATCTTAAGCAGACAGTCTACTAATACTCTAATGACTGGTAGTTGATATGTAGCTGCAAAGTTACTTATAGTCAGCACAATGTCTAAAGTGGACTATCAAAATAAAGTAATACCTAATCAAAACATAGAGTGACCAGGAGCTGTCAAGCTTGAAGGACAAAGGCAAGGCACCATACACACAAATAGCACACTATATGAATGTCGTCTGAAGCTTTACGATAGCTTTGACTGAGAAACAGACCTAATGTCATTAATTCTTGTGCATCTTGTGACCGACTACAACGTCACAAGTTTGAAGCACATAAATAAATCAATGGATCATTTATAAATATTTAATATAAATCAAATGAAGCAATTAAACTAATTCATATAAAGAAAAAAATACATGTAAAATATGTGAACAAAATTCACAAAGACACATTATTCCTAATATCGCTTTTCTTTAATCACACTGGTCAATATGAATTAAATTCTATCAAAGTCAATCCATATCTCAGAGGGGAAAAAATCAACTCAGGACAAAAATAGGCACTGCAAGCAGGGAGACCAAAAAAGCACCCTTAAAAGTCAGGCTACATTTGTGTTCAGACTAAACATTTGTCATCTGTTCCATTTTATTTCAAAGAATGCTTTGTTCTCCACTCGGTGCTTATTTTACTGCTCACAGGAGCACTTGCATAGAATTTTCCTCAAACTTCTTGACCTCCCTGTATCACATGTCACTTCAAAAAACAACACAGCACTCTGAGAAAGTATACATATATAATTAATTTCCAATCATTGGACAATGGGGTCCAAAAAGTCAGAGACGACTAGTGAAAATGCATATTTCTTTTTTCCATTACAAATTATATGATCAGAAAAAAAACAATCCGAGTTAAAATCTGAATTGAAAAAATCAACAAGAATATGAAAAATATTTGTATTTGGTTTGTCCTTGTTTTGTTTTAATGACACCACGCACTCTGAGAAAGTATACATATATAATTAATTTCCAATCATTGGACAATGGGGTCCAAAAAGTCAGAGACGACTAGTGAAAATGCATATTTCTTTTTTCCATTACAAATTATATGATCAGAAAAAAACAATCCGAGTTAAAATCTGAATTGAAAAAATCAACAAGAATATGAAAAATATTTGTATTTGGTTTGTCCTTGTTTTGTTTTAATGACACCAGGAAGTTTGTGACATGATAATCATGTTCTCCAGTATGATTCAAAAATCACCTTGAGCTTCAATGTAAGAATATCTGACTCTCTGTACAAAGACTGATGTCTGAAATTTACTTGATTAGTTACCTAGTCTTATACATTTTCCCACTACATTGTTTCCTTGTTTTAAAGTTGTTTAAAATTCTGAATCAAAATTTTTTTTTAATTGTTTAAATGAAAAGAAAGAAAAATCCCAGATTTCCAATGTAGTCTCAGACTTTAGTACCTAATTGAAAATGACCACCAAGTGTTCAAAAACAGTTTAGCAGAGCAAATCTCTGAAGCGATGTGAGGTCTTCAAATGACACAAAATTCAAGTGAAGAAGTTGAGGAGCAAACATAAGGCCATTCTAATCTGTTATCTGGACATTGATTTTGCATATTGTGATCCTGAAGGACCCATCATTCAGACGAATGTTGATAAGCATATATTTGTCTGATTGCACGGCTCACTTGATTTGGAATTGATAGTTCAGGAGTGACTTTGGAGTAGCGTGACATCTGACTGGTCTATTTCAAGTCCTATTAAAGTTCTTCATTCTTACTAGAAGGTGGTGATTGACCTGCTCCTCCGGACGCTTCCACCTCCTCAGAAGGACTGTTTTTTGCCCGGAAATTGAGAGAAGCAGAGTTTATGCAGTAGCGTTTCTTTGTTGGTCGAGGTCCATCATCAAAAAAGTGGCCCAGGTGAGCACCACACTACAAATAGAAAAATAATAATAAATAAAATTCAAGACATTGTCTTCATAGCAGGGTATAAAAAGGGTGTAAATCTGGTTTTGTACCTGACTGCAGGTTGTCTCCACTCTGTGCATCCCGTACGAAAAGTCATCAGTTAGTGTTATAGAGTCCTTATTGATCAAATCAAAAAAGGACGGCCATCCTGCAAAAGCAGTACAACATTGAGGGTTAAGTGAATCTACCTGTGATCCACAAGCCTACAAACCCTTCATTCTGGTGTGTGTTTCCATCTCGTGCTGTGCAAGTTTAAGGGGTTTGTTCTCTTCCTGGCCTGTCCTGGTGTTGAAGCTCATTCTGAGTGAAACCCTCACATTTTCTTGCTGCTCTATCCTTGTCTTTCACTCCAGAGCAATGTAATCTAATCAATCGAACCTTAATACAACACATTGCATTTGCTTACAATGCAAAGCACATTGAGTTTGTTAGGATTATTTGGAAAAGAACAACAGAGAATGTAAGAAAAGCTTGGTCCTTTGGTTTGCTAAATGGTGAGAAAATAAGTTTAGAGTTTGCTGATGCAAAATTCACCACCATGATTTTTGGGTGTTTGGTTTCTGGCAAAACCTGATATATGGGGTCATCCATACCCTACTGCATGGCTGGCACGTGAGATCATGAAGTGAAACAAACCTCACTGAAAATGGTCAGCGTTATCGACAGAGTTACAGGCTGTCTCACAATCCCGTTTCTTTCACCTGGAAAATTTCTACCCAGTAACAGGGGTGCAAGTGGAAAGAATGGCTGCTCTGGCTCATGGGTGGTCCTGCTCATGGCTCTCTGGGTAGGTGGAACGTCTGGAGGAGAGGAACCTTGGGAGCTTACTACTACACAGCCTCTGCTGACATATTTGTTTAGGTTTTTGACAAAAACCCAGACTAACTTTAAAGTACTACCTCCTGATTACTGGTAGAGGGATATATATTAAAGTAGATGCTGCAAAGCAAAATTAATGAGTAGTACAAGACTATTGGCAGTGCAGGGTACAACACATCCAATTATTATTATAAACATTACAGATGAAGTTCTGCAACACCAGAACTGCAATGCTAATTCTACATTTTTAAATCTAGAAAAAAAAAAAGAAAAAAAAAAAAGATTTCTAGAGCATTTAGAGAATATTATAAAATATTTCTGAATATATTACTTATGGAAAAACACTACAGTTTAAAAGTTTGGGGTCAGAATTTTTTTCAGCACATTACATTGATCAAAGCTTTTTACAAACTTTCTATTCATCACAGAATGCTGAAAAACAATATATAATATTTTCCATAAAAACAACCAGCTGCACAACAGTTTTCAACGTTTATAATAAGAAATGCATCAATTCAGCATATTAGAAAATGTTCTAATGGAGCATGTGATTTCTGGAGTAATTATGCTGAAAATTTTGCTTTCCCACCAAAGGAATTAATTACATTTTTAAATAAATAAATGGTTATTTTAAATTATAATAGTATTTCACAATATCACAGTTTTTTAATGATTATTTAAATGCAGTCTTAGAGAGTATAAAATACTTCTTTTTTTTAATCTCAAGAACTTTTTACCAGTACAAAGCAAATGATCTGTATTGAATGGTAGATTATGCGTGTTAAAATATAATAAAAACCTAATTATGTCATTTTACTTTGTCCATCAATTTAAGATTTTTTAAGGACCCGCAAATACCCTGTTCTAAATAATAATGGAAAATTAACGGAAAGAGTTGTTTGAGGGCCAGTGTGGGAGATTTGGCAACCAAGGTTCCTGGTTACCAACTATCTTGGGAACTCTATCTGATTTTACATTTCATAATGACATCAGATCATGCCTCAGGAAGCAGGAGTCGGTTCACTGCTGTGATACTACTACTGTGTGGTGAGAAACAGAAGTCAGTCAATCAATCGTCCACCTGCTCATTCTATACTTTCTCTCCACAACCCCTCAAACACCCAGAGCCGATCCTCCCTATACGCAAAGTTAAAAACACACTGACCTGCGGAGGAGACACTATTCCCCAAGCGCTTTCTGTGTGTGCGATTCGAGGCGATGTGAAACAGACAAATATAGGCTACTTTGGGCTTTGGGTGTGCACCTAAACGGGCAAATACACACAAAATATGTCAAAATGTCTGTCTTGGTGAATTTTCATTTAAACACAGTCAGTTATGTCTTAAGTGAACATAAACAGTTTGAATTGTAATCAGTGCTGCTGTCTGTCATTAATATTAATCAAACAACAAAAGAAAAAGATAATTATTCACTGCTCTTCAATGAATATTGTTCATCATAACTTTGTTATGAATCAATTTATATTTGATTTATATGGTGAAGTCTATGCAGTGCTTTATTTTTTACATTTGATTACTTTAATCAATTTCTGAATAGTAGGCTATTATAGGCTAAATTGTTAATTTTATTTGTATATTTTTTATTCTATTGTATTTGTCCTATCATTTGTCATTTTCTTCATATTTTTGTATTATTGACTGTTTCAACTCACTGTTGTTTGTTGACATTGAAACTGCTCTGAAAGAACAGGTTAAGGGGTTGGGATTTTTATTAATGCACAGACAGGCGCCCCCTGACAAAGTTTTGCTTAGGGCCCCTAGAAGTCTAGGATCGGCACTGCGAACACCCCTAAATCGCCATCTATACTGACCCCCTCTCTCTTAGGGAGGAGATGCTTGGCCGCAACTACAAAGCCACGAAATTCCACTCAGACACAGGAAGCTCTTGGGGGAATACAGAAATCCTATGACTCAGACCAGGAGAATCCTGGCGGATCGCCGCGGAGCTTATCTAATGGAGCTTTATCGCCAGGGCGAGCGGCCCAGTGAATGGAGCAGTGTAGCGTCATTCTAACAGGCTGCAGCGTTGCCTGCATGCAATGCAGCCCATTTGGCTCCCATCTCTATGTCAAAGACAAAAAAGATTTTTCAACACGGGCCCAGATGTTTCTCATTTCGGCCTGATTTCTGTAAAGAATTCTTGCATACACATTATACTGTGTTCGGAGAGCGAATAAAAATAGCACGAGTAACACTGCAGAAGTATGTGATTTGGAGCTCAGATCTGTAAGGGATTAACAATCCGTTGCTGAGATATATTATAATTACATTGTATACACTCAGCACCAACTCAACATTCACTTAGTTGGAGCTGATGAGAGTCTTTTTATGCTTGAAACAAAACATTGAATATACATCTTAAAAGTATACCATTGCAACTACAAAAGCCATATTAGAAGCCAGATGGGAAGCACTTTCAGGAAACTTCCAATTCATAACACCTATGATCTGCATTTAATGCTTATTTGCACACCTGCATTAAAATCAAAGTGACTATACTTTATTAATAACACATTCTTGCATTCAAAAACTGATAGATGAATTGCAAGATGCATTTAAAAAAAGCTGAACTATGTATAAATGCAACATTTATTGTTAAAGACACTGAAAAACAGTGAGGAGCAACACAAAAACAACTTTGTCATGTCTAGTCAGTTGTTGTTGGCCAATATAACGTATCTTCATTTGACTTTTCTCAGCAAATATTGTTTTAAGGGATTATTTGTGATTGTCATTTTTTGTAAGCCATTAAAACAACATTAATTCAAACAAAAAAACTCTGCATACTGTTTCTCTGTGAGAAATACATTAATTCTACAGAGTTGTTCTCTAATTGTGAAGGAAGAACGTTTGATGTGCACAAATTAAGAACTGTGGTGTTGTAACTCATATATAAAGGAGCATGTGAGCTTTCATGCCCCACACTAGCAGCCTATTAGACGGCTGACTGGATTCACATTCATCCTTGCAATCAACCATAAAGGAGGTTGAGAAGGTCAAACTCTCCCTTATTGAGCTGGACAAGAGAAGAATAAGGAGCAATGAGCCTTATCTATATATTTTTTTCTCTCTTTGAGAAAAAATTAGGCTCAAGCCCCGTTCACACCAAGAACGATAACTATAAAGATAACGATATTAGTGTATCGTCTGTTTATTCTAATGCTTCTGGCGCTTAAATTCTTGAGCTCGTTACAGCAGGATGGATTCTGATTGGCTGTCAGTGTTTTATCATTCATCAGCTGGAAAAAAAATCGTTTTGAAAGTGATCACAATGATATCGTTCCTCTGTATCGTTATCGTTGTGGTGTGGACTATGCTGTTCTTTAATATTGAGAACGATTTATAGAACTATATCTTTATCGTTATCTTTATAGTTATCGTGCTTGGTGTGAACGGACCTTTAGTCTTGTAACATTATGTACACCATTGTCAAAAGGAAATCAAGCATTTTTACAAAAATAAACTCATTTGTCTCATTATCTCATTATCTATTTTGATTTGTATTATATGTGAGTGCAGAACCATACCTGATCCAGAGTCAAACTTCTTATCAGACCTGCAAGGACAGTAAGGCGTCAATAACAAAATGTTGACTATCAAATGAAGATGTATCACAAAAAACCCTTTGATTTCTAAATCAAAAATAAAGATTAAATACAGTAGGCATGGTAAAGATGGCTCATTATGGACACTCACGTGAAAAGAGGGGCACCGCAAACGACACATTGGTAGGTTCCTTCCCCTTTATTATCTGTATATTTTCCCGTGAAAGCACTAGGGATGAAAACACCACAAACTGTGACTTTATACCTTAAAATGATCAACTATGTATACTGTTAGCTTAATAAAAGATAATGGTCAGCTCAATAAAAGTTAATCAATAAATGCTAATCCATATTACTGCTTATTTCAAAGTGCATCTCGGTTTCCCATGCTCTGTGTTTGTTTATACAAAAAAACTAAACTGTAAATGGCAGCAATTGATTGAGCATTTCTAATCTAGATAAGTTGAGGAGGATTTGTGTTTGAACGGAGTAACAGGCATCAGAATGCACCTTTCAGGTTCCCTGCTCTCTTCTCACAGGCTAAGGGCATTTTTCACATTCCTACTGCCAATGGCCCGATAAATACTATCCCCACGTGTGTTTTACCACTGAGCAACGGAGGGAAAGAGGGGAAGTGTCATTGTTTTCTCTTCTGTGCTACATCCTCCTTCTACTCAACATCTATCTCGTGGCCTTGGGTCATTCAGGAGAGAATGTTTCTATCAGCCAAGCATAAATAAATCTGTACAGAGAATGTTCAGTCTATTGACATTTCACAGTCACATTTGACTAGACGCTTGAAAAAAAAAAAATCCAAATTCACTTTCTTATTGCCACTGTTTGGACACATCTACTCGTTCTTTTTTATTTTTCACCTTTTCAAATATAAAGCTGTTGGAATATAATTTAATTATTTAGAAAATAAAATGTAACCTTGTTGGCTGCTTTTGCTTCACAATCCAGTTCAAAGGAATCCCCTTACAAAAACAATTACTTAATTAAAAATATTTTATAAATCATTATAAATTAATTAACATTTATTATATTAAATTAGATAATTATTAATGTTAGTATTACATTTATAATGCATGATAGACTATTTATTAATTTTGTTTTTAAACATGGTATTGTTTTTAATGTTTTTTTTTTTAAGTTTCGCAAAGAAAATGACAATATATAATATATACTCTATATGTATGATTTGGATAAATATAGTAATTTAATAATTTATGAACAATTTATATTTATCTATAAATCTATTAAGTTAATGACAAACTAATTCATTCAAGTGTGTCCAAACTTTTGATTGAAAGTGTATTTTAAGGTGTCTTTTAGTTAGGGTGGGTCACCCACCTCTCTGTGCCCTTTTCCTGAGTAACATGGTACTGCATTGGGGTCAGTCGCTTCCTCAGCTCCTCCTCGGGGAACGTCTTGGGCCATGTCTTCTTTCTTCGGCACGTTCCTACAGGAGAGACAAGTAAGGTAAGGCAAACGTTTAAGTGTTTATAATTACAAAATAAAAGCAGTGCTAAACCTCCAGCATTATTAAAAAACAAACAACTGACACTCTAATCTAGGTTTCTATGTGACTACTTCCAAGCAGGAGTCAGGACTTTTGTCTGGTTACTTTGGTTGCAAATGATTTGGTTTGGCCGATAACAAAGGATGTCTACTTAAATTCCTGACTTGACTCTTGCCTGGAAAAATCACAGTCACACACACACACACACACAATCCAAACGCTCCGTCAGTGATGTGCTACAGCCAAAGTATTACACCGAGGTAAATTGAATTTTCCCTGCATAACATACGTGGTGAGTTATGACATTCTAGATGAGCGCTCATGTTGGCTGTTCATACAGAAGGCAACGATCTTGACTGCTACACTTGGCCCCTAACTTTACAACAATGCTGACCTCTAGAGGTCAACCTGTGGAGAGAGGAATTGTCACCAGAAGGACTTTCAAACTTAATTAATTAAATAGTGATACAACTTGCACTGATAATAAACTCAATAAAACACCAGCCTGGGGGAAAAAATTTATATAACAAATGAGCCTGAAATTCTGGCAACTGTAAGGTCCTCAGAAGAAGCCCTGTAGCCATGTTTTTAAAAGGGGCCAGATGTCCATCTGTATGCCATTTAGTCCCTCAGACACGCAGCAGTTTTAAATTACATACAATTCTACTGCAATTTCCCATTACAGAGTGTTTTCTCCCTCCTTTCCACCTTTTTTTCAGCTAATAACGATTTTTTTTCACTCGTGTTCCTGTGGGGTCTGTCCTGCTCCTGTATTGTTTGGCCAGTTTTACAGCTTGTGTTCTGGTGAGAGCAGGTCTCCCTTCACTTAGACTATGTGGAGAATTCCTCTCGACAAGATTGAAACCATGTGAATGGAGGAAATAATGGGGTCTTTAAAGGTCCCTCTGGTGAATGGGCTCCATTGATGGGCCCTGCTCTGTCCAGCGAGTACAAAGTTACTTCTGACAAACATGGGGAAGAGGGGAGGAGACTGCAAAGAGGAGGGGGTCGCCTCTCTGCAGGACTCTCCCGTATTCCTTTCGACTCCGTGAGAGTGGTCTTCTGGATCCTATTAGTGAGACACAGAGAGCGAATTCCTATTTTTTTTTGCATGGAGGGCTCTGAGCACTATTTATACTGTGAGAGAGAGGGAGGGGGAAAGGGGAAAAAAGTGTTTTATTTCTTGGTTTGTCTAGAAAAGCCTCTAAAGAGGCATTTAAAGAAATTCAGGAATTCGTTCTGTCACCCCCTGCAAATGATTTAGTTTTGGTGCACCGAGAGGTCATGCTACAAATCAGCACGTGGTTCCAACATCCCTCCTCTATAACCTCAAGTGAAAGTTATTTCCTAATTGGAAGCAAGATTTGTTTTTAGCACGGGCCTTTTGCTTCACACCAAAAATATCACGTCTTCCCCCAGATATTTTTCACACTTCTTCTCACCGATTCTCAACTCATCGCTTTCAAACTTTTTGATAGTGCTTGCAAGGCAGCGCTATAGTAATATTACTCTAACATTCTGGTTAGGTTTTGTTTTAAACACTTGTACTTTCACAGTACCAATGTTCCTGTCGCATAGTAGTCTCTATACAGGTAATTACATGATTTTTGGTTTACTACACTATTTCTTTCAATAATGGGAAATTCTAAAATGGTTATGTAAGAAATTGGGAAATATAATATAAACCTTAAAAAAAATTTAAATGTCAATAATGTCAGCCTTATTACGCATACTACTTTTTAAAAGTTTATACATTTTAAGAAATTTTATAATAATTTTTAGCTGACATTGATAAAATGTTTAGCACTTAAAATTCACCTAACTGTAATGATGTCATCATAATAGCATCATATTTGCATACTGACTTGCAACCTTTCTTCTTACACCAATTCAATCATATAACTGTGTTAATTATCATTTAGTGAAAGCAGCATTTTATTTACACACTTTAACATTACTCTCGTTACTTTCAAGCACTCTTATTTCATTCAGGACATGCAAATACTTTTGTGTTTTATTATTTACAACATTTACCAGATACAACTGGTCAAAAATCCCTCAGAAGAGCACACCCTGTTTCAAATGTGAGTGTCATCTAAAGTCCTAAAATTAAAAATTCAAATACAAATGCAATCATTAGTAGAAATTAAGATAATGTTAAAGCTTGACTGATCATGCAGGCTTAAAAGAAGGTAAAACAGTGAGTTAGGCATTATTCCACGAGCAACTGAAGAGCTAAACGGAGGAAAAAAAGAACAAAGCAAAAGGTGACATTTCAGGGCAAGGGGTCATCAAATGCAGAAAAACCAACTTAAGCATCAGGGGGAACCTGATATCTGGAAGCCTACTATTTAGGAAATTATCTAAAATGTTACCAGAAGTATTACATATTCACCTGTTGAGCTGTCCATGCATTTATGTGAAGACAGTCAAAGTACAGAATACATTGTCCACTGATAAAGCTCAATGTCAGGCTGCCTTTAGATAAATCCAAAGTTGGTTTCTCCACAAGTTTCATCAATCAAACACTTATCATCAAGCAAACACACACCCCTTGCCAAACGCTCACACACGCGTGTGCGCACATATGAAAGCATCGAGGAAGCAAAGCACACTGCACACACACACAGCATCCAGGTGACCTGAGGGGAGCCCGCAGGCCTTGAGTTTTACAGGTTGGCCTTGGCTGACCAGATGCAGTAGATTGAACCCGGACATGGCTACGGCCGATGCTGCTGGGAGAACAGAAACAGCGGCGAGACAGGAGCCGCCTGCTAAAACACCCTCCTACCACTCAGGCTAAAAAATAATAAAGACAAACATAGGCGAGGAGGGAGAGGAAGGAGAAAAAAAAACACAACATAGGTCAACACAGATGTCAGTCACAGAGATGGACACTTAGAGCAGCCTATCACGGGACGGCTGATACTTCTCATGCAGGGAAAGACTGATTAACGTCACTGTGTAAAGAGAGAGAGGTGAACGGGAATGATAAAGATGCAACAACATATTACACACAATTCAACTGAAAACCTCGTACACTTAAGACATATTTACTTACATAAATAACCATTTAATGTACATCACAAGGTATAATATTAAAAAGCTTAATATAAAAGAGTGCCATATTGATTTTTAGTTTTACTAAAGGCTTTTAAATATTATACCTCACAGGGGGGCTAAAAAAATGTTTAGCCAAAGACCTTAAAGCTGCCATTATTCACTTATTTATTTTTGATTGCTGACAGTCTAATACATATGGAATCCCATTTCTGATTTCAGATAAAACTTAAAAAAAAATAAAAAAGTAATTGCACTTTTTTTCCTTGCAATTGTGAGTTTATCTCACAATTTTTACTTTCCTTCTCAGAATTGTAAGTTAACATCTCGCAATTCAGATTTTTTTTGGTCAGAATTAAGAAAACAATGCAATTTTGAGTTTATATCTCGCAATTCTAACTTCTTATCTCACAATTCTGATTGATTGCAAGAAAAAAAGTCTGAACTGTAAAATATAAACTCAATAAAGTCAAAATTGTGAGTTGCAATTACCCTTTTTATTTTCCATTTCAGGCTTCCATAAATACATATTAAGCAGTGAAGTGAAAAATTATTATTTGACGTTTATGAGAAGTGATTAAAAGGTCAGAGAACTTCATTAGTGAATCCAACATATATTTTATGTCAAGTTTATGAGCTGGATTATTAGTTTTAGAATTCAGAGCCTCGAGAAGACAGAAAAAAAAGCACAGAAGCATTTTGCATAGAAGACAGATAAAAAGCTGCCAACACCGAACTTATCAGCGGTTTCTATGGCTGTAGCACGTCAGTTGTGTGTCTGTGGGCCATAAAGAGAAACCTAAACCTGTAATTCATTTGATCCTAATACACATTAGCAATCCTAATGCTAATATCAACTGTACTACACAGAACGACACGACAATCAAGTCTGCTTCTCATTTATTTAAACTTCTCATTTAAATATCGCACATTATATATCCTAACCACATTGGTTACAGTACCTAGTGTAGTGGGTGGAATCAGTGCTAGGAGCGGTCTTGCGGACTTATGGGAATGAATGCATTGGAGCAGGGCCATGGATGCGTGCGGGGCCATGGATCGGAGAAGACGGGCAGCCATCCTGGCCTACGGCAAACTCGAGCGCACGCTGAAAAAAGCAGGAAGGTTTTTAAGACCTTCTCCAAACCTTCTTGTAACTATAAAGATAAAGACCTATGAAAAAGGTAGCTTTAAAAATGTTAGAGCCCCAAACTTGTGGGAAATTACAGCTGAACTACAGGAGCAATAACAGGCAAAGCTACAGAGCGCTGCTGAATGAGAGGATGAAGCTGCGGTTTATAAGGAATGAGGTCCATCTAGTGGTCGTGCAGGTGCGTGGGAAAAAGAGAGAGATCTTTTCATTTACTGCAACAAGGAGACAGAACAGTACAAATGACAAATTATTATCAGAAAGAGCTTGATTTGAACATTTTTCCATTAAGCACTCATTCTTACTGTGTAGAAAAAATATTTTAATATATGCATTATACGTGGCATCTTCCACCAAACAAGCTCTGCTCTCATGTCACATTTTGAGCCACTTTTTTTTTCTTTTAATCAGCTATCTCATATTGATTTTTAGTAGATGTGAAGACAGTTCTCCTCAAAAGCGTAACCACAGGTGTAGTTCATCACATTAACTATGAACATATTCCACGTTTGACCAGAAATTGTCTAAATACATTTTGTCTTAATCTTGAACAATATACCTATTTTTTTTACCATTTAAAAAAAATTAGTGTGTCACATTTTACTTGAAAATGATCCACGTGTCTTTAAAATAAATGCAACTTGGTTTGATATTCTGATTATTTTGGCCTCATTTTCACTAAATGTCTGCTCTGTAAAAGGGTGTCTCAAATAATCAGATAACATCCAATACATATTTATAATAAATCCAAATATATATATTTATTTTTAAAAATAAAATAAACTAAAGAAATACATTCACAATATATCATTTAAAACTAAAACATTTGAAAAATTAAAGGAAAAATAATGAAAACATTTTGATATATAAAAAATATTTTATATTAAAATATTTCATTTATAATTCGATATTATTATTATGCAGCAATTTTGTAAATATTACGCCACTGACCAAAATAAAGCAACCATGATTATGTTGTATCTAAATTCAGAATTGTTATAGTAAATGAATGCAACAGCATTGGCACTCAAGTGACTCTTCACTTGACTGGCCTGTCTGGCATGGTTTTAACACATGATCAGATACAGTCACAAGCAAGGCCACATTTTAAAAATACCCAGCAATCACTTGCAGAGAGAACTATAAATAGAGCTCAATTACAGCTCTGCAGAATCACACCATAGGGTCTGTGACCGTCTACAGCTTGATGTTGGCATCTTTTGCATTCCAGAAAGTTCTCTTTAAATGATTTCAACACTTGATCCGGTTTCCTCCAATCTTACTGCTTGTGTATTTGATCAATTCGTTTATTTTACTGTTAAGCTGTACTGATGAATATTTTCAAACCCACTGCAAAGAGAAACCAGAGGGTCAGTACCGTGACTCACAAATAAAATTTCATCTATATTATTACATTAAACATCCATCGGATGACTGAACATTCTGACAGGCATTTAGAAGTTCATTAGATAGGTGTCAGTACTTTAGAAGGCAATTAAATAAACATGACATAAAATATTAAAGTCTCTGAATGGTCTGCACTTACAAAATAGTACCATAGAGCGTACTTGCAAGTACATTGGAATCTCATGGTAATACTGTGGTGTGTATATCATTGTATCATAGTAGTACCATAGTCATTTTTTTGTAAGGGTGTGGTTTGCATAAACAAAACGTTACGTAATAATGCCTTGCTGCTACGACATCACGTGTGGGAGGATACATAGTATATACATAGTATACAGTATACAAGTGTAGTATACAAGTGTACCTGATATGCTTTTTACAGAAAACTAGAACAATTTCCTGTGGCTATTTACGAAATATTTTGTTATAATAAATTAGAAGCATAAAAACAAATAAACAGATGAAACAAACGCATAAATATGTCATACATTTCAACTGCGTCCATTTTAAACTGACAGTAAAGTAAAACGGTGTTGTGTTACACATTTAACGCGTAGTCATAGAGACCCTGTTGCCTACATTAAAGTCACTTAAAAAGTGCGTAACAAAAAATATAAACATATAACAAGCAGTTACACGTACCAGAGAGCAGAAATAGCGTTAAAACCCAGTAGAACAGCAGACTAGAGAGAGAAGGGGGGACGCGGTGAGAGCAGTGCATTTGTCAAACAGCGACACGACCGTGTTCTTCTTAGGTAATGACAAGTGCATTCTGGGAAATTCCTCTCGCCGGCCAGACGAGCTCCAAATATGAGCAATGCGTAATTTGCGCGCATAGCTACTCAGCGCGAAGCAGTTTGTGCGCTTTGGTAAGCTAATTACGCCATTAGACTGTACCAAAATATAGGTTATGGTTAATTTGATTATTTGCGTAATGTTTCATGTTGTTATCGGGTCTAAACAGACGTACGAGAACCTCGGCAGACTTCGCTTAGCAAGTCTTCATCACATCCTACTTCTTTCGGAATAAAGCTGCCAGTACCTTCTGGTCCGGTCTGAGATCAGCCAACTGGTGAAATGCGAGAAGCTGGGCCTTTATTAAGAGATAATACTATTAAATAAACTATACTTAAAAAAAAAAAAGATTAAACATTAAAACAATTTAATCATAGAACGGGAGGTGTATTAATCATACTTGTGTTCATTTTTATAAAGATGGTCGTATTCCATATTTTAAATGCTTTCTGATTCAAAATTAATCTATTATAATTTACCATTGAAGGATTAGCAATATATTAAATCTTCAACTCTACATTAGTAGGCTATGGTAATTTTAGTGGTGCTATTTGTTTTACTTTAACTTTATTATTAATATGATGATTATTATTGTATTAGGTACTTCTACATCTACAATTTAACTAAAAGAACAAACCCTTTTTCAGGTCAAGGATCCTTTTAGATTGGTTAGAAACTGGGAATAAAGCAGACGATTAAATGTAACTATTTAAAGTGAATATGAAGTCGAAAAATGGGTGTATTTTGAATAGCTTCAACTTTTTCCCTCTGATTACTAAATTTAATAGAAATAACTGTTGTTGTTCCACAATAGGACTGAAATGTCCAGTTTTGCATCTGAAAAGTGCAATACTTATACATTTTGTCCTTAAGTTATATTTACTAATATAGAAATTATACATTTTCAAAACATATTTCATAACAGATACAAACATATCTCATGGTTCTTGTGATTAATCTCCAAGACTAAAAACAAAGTCTTAAGACCACACCATTATGTTTTCAATTGCAATACTAACATGTTCACCTAGATATCTGGAGTGGGCAACTACCGTTAACTTCTCTTAGAAATGTTCTCAACAATTAAAAGATCAACTTTATCTCAAAAGCTATTTCCAACGTTTTATATAAATGTAGGTGCCAGTCATTCTGGAAAAGCAAAGTTAAAGTGTGCTCATGTAGATTATGTAATGAATCTCAACAAGGAAGGAGATAAACATAAGTAATAAACAAGTACATTTTATTTACCTCATATCCACCCGAACTGCATCTAAACAAAGGCTGATAAATCTTTCTGTGATCCAAAATAGACATGACCGCAGCATGACATGCTCTGTTTATGAATGTTTCCAGATACAAATTAGAATCAGATCGCCATATCAGGCTGCGCAAGCTAGCACAAGTGTGTATAAGAAAGTCAAAAAACAACTTCCATCAAAAACGTCTCCTTTGGAAATTTAGTAGGGTCGGGGACAGATTAAAAACAGCAACAGGATGGCATTTAAAATCGGCCAAGAGATGGGTCAGGGAAAAAAAAAAAAGAACATACAACTGCACCAATTATAATGGGAAAAGTATAACTTTTAAAATATAAACGAAAACAACAGTAAATAATTATATACTTGAATATAATCAGGCTGTGACAATTACGACTAGTGTTCAGAAACATGGCATTGAAGGGGAACACAATTGTTCATTTCTCTCACAAAGCCATGTAGACCCTCCAACATGACACATCTCTAAATGCAGCAGTGTAGTTATTCTGTTGGCAAGAAACAAATGAGAGCTTATGACAATTTCAATTTCAAACAGATGATTTCAACCACCACCATTCAATGAGATATTTACAGCACCCCTTTCTTAGAGTGTGTGCATGCTGTTCTTGGACTAAACTACAAAAAAAAAAAAAAAAGGCGACAAAACAATAAAGGGAATACATCAGCTTAAACATCATCTGGGAAATAAACATCCACAATATGAGATACAATTCAAAGCTTAAATATAGGCATACTTTAACCAGCACATGCAGCTATGTATAGCCCAACAGAGCTCCTTGGAATTAAGGAGGGGAGTTAGTTACATAAAAAATAAGCAGAGGCCGGAAAACTCTCATTCGTGTTGTAAGATTTAAAGTTGGAAGCCATTTTTGTCATCGACTCGGTCAAAGAAAATACATAAGAAACTTGTGTCCACTTGCACCAAATATGAGAAGGACAGAGACTGCGTCATCCACCTCTCCTAAAAGTTCTCACCGGACCGAGCAACTCTCTCTCCACCGGTTTCATGCCAGTGTGTGCATCTCCCTTGCTTTCCTTGATACCGAAGGACAGGAAAAAAGAAAAAACACGGCAGCTCACAGGTTTAAACACCATTGTTTGCATATGGCTGACAAAACTGATTGGGCGTCCCAGGTGGCCCAACTGTAGAAGCTCCTGAATGCGGTTCTCTCTGGTAAGGAGGACGCAGGAAAAAGGAGCAGAGGGCAGAGAGGATGGTGGTGGCCGTTAGCATGTCCCTCAAGAGAAACCCAGTGAGCTGGACGTGCTGGATCGCTGGTTCAGGCGAGACATGCTGTTCATGCTGGAGCTGGAGGGCTTGAGGGGCGTGTTGCAGCCCAGGGCTTGTGGGAAACGCTGGTGGTAGCGATCCAGGCGTAGGTACTTGACCGTCACCAGCTTACCTGTAGAAAAGGCAAGTTGGGTTGAAACAGATTGAAAAGGGCAGTTCTTATGATTAGTCTAATGCAATATTCGTTTACCATCAAACCAGGAGCCATGAAGCGCTTTGAAGGCTTTCCCAGAATGCTCTGCTGAAAGGCACTTCACATAAACGCAGCCCTAGATGAGAACAAAAGCATACAGCAAATCGACCCATTAGTTAAATGCTTCTAGGAATATTACTGTTAAATTCAACAACAACAACAAAGTTAAATTCTAAGCCAACATCATATCCTTTGTGAACAAGGCAATACCAGAATGCACACAAATTAATAATAAAATAAAAAAATCGAGATGAGGTAAAAAAAAAAAAAAGAATAAAATAAATACAGTTCTGTGTAATTAAAAAAAAATAGATATTTTACCCATTATTTGTTTGTCCCATTTAAATTTTGCTAATATTAATATCTAGTACACATTAGCTTAACATCACGATTCATGCTAACATCAAACTTAATTCAAATAAATTGTGAGTAAAGTCAATTTGCACGATAAGCTTAGTGGAAAACTATCCAATATGGTGAAAAATAATGTTCAGAGTACTTAAAGATAGACTATTTTGGCCAATATAAAGATTTGCCAATAATAAATGTGTCCCATTTATGCTTCTTACAATATCTAGCGTTTGTAAGCTTAGCAACATGCTAACATGAAATCATTGGGATCAATAGATCAGATCAAATCAAAACAATTCATGAGGCATACAAAATTGAGTTAAATTCTAAGCCAACATCATATCCTTTGTGAACAAGGCAATACCAGAATGCACACAAATTAATAATAATAAAAAAAATCGAGATGAGGTAAAAAAAAAGAAAAGAAAAGAAAAAAGAATAAAATAAACACAGTTCTGTGTAATTTTAAAAAATAGATATTTTACCCATTATTTGTTTGTCCCATTTAAATTTTGCTAATATTAATATCTAGTACACATTAGCTTAACATCACGATTCATGCTAACATCAAACTTAATTCAAATAAATTGTGAGTAAAGTCAATTTGCACGATAAGCTTAGTGGAAAACTATCCAATATGGTGAAAAATAATGTTCAGAGTACTTAAAGATAGACTATTTTGGCCAATATAAAGATTTGCCAATAATAAATGTGTCCCATTTATGCTTCTTACAATATCTAGCGTTTGTAAGCTTAGCAACATGCTAACATGAAATCATTGGGATCAATAGATCAGATCAAATCAAAACAATTCATGAGGCATACAAAATTGTTTTGCTAATAACAACACCACACATTTAAAATCGACTGTTCTATGCATTTTATGCTTTTAACAATATCACACTGTTAGCTTAGCAATACGCTAACATCATACTCCATTGGAATAAACTGAGTCAAGTCAATTCGTGTGGTGTGATGAGTTGTTGCATGTTGTTCTAGTGTGTTACAAACTGGCCATTTATGAGGGTCCATGATGGCTGGGATGCTGCCTTTGAAGGCAGCAGGCAACTCATTAGCTTTTGGACAAGAGCTTATAAGCCCAGGTTGTCTATTTTGTAATGAACCACACAGGATTCTCACCTCTCTTGAGTTTTTGTCAACAGCTATATGAACGATTCCATCGTTATCACTGCACTTCTCCAAAATGGCTTCTTGAATGGCGAGGTGCCAGTTTTCCCCCACTTCCCTGTTCAAGAGGGAAATACGGAGTAGTTAAGATTACTTTTTTCAAAAAGACTAATATCAGGCAAACCTACATAATATTATGCAAGTAAATACATTTTACTTGAACCACCAATTCAATGTGAGGTCACATGCAAAAGTCCTTGAGAGACTTACATTACAGGATCAAACATGTTGCGAATCTTCAAGCATGGCGTTAAGCTGTTTGGTGGCGAATTTCTTCGGTCCAACGGAAATGCTGAAGAACAAAACCAGCCATTTTAGGTTTGAAAACATACTCTACATGTCCAAAAGAATGTGGACACAATGCATAACAATGTGTTGAAAGTTTCTTATGATCATGTGTGATTCTGAAAAAGTAAAAAGGCGTAAGTGTGGCCTTAAAATTAGGGCTATGCGATATGGACAAAAAAAAAAAAAACCTATCGCGATTTCTTTGATCAATTTTGCGATTTCGATTTTAATCACGATTTTGACACATACAGACATGCTTTACAGTCATAAATGCATTCAGTGTGAATTTGAAACATATTTCCAAAAGAAAACCAATTAGAGCTTTATCAAGAA